TCCAACCCAAAGTATTCTATGATTCTATGACAGGAGAAATGCTGCAGTTCTGTGGGATGCGGGGGATTTTTCTTGTTTTATTCCTAATCCTCGTCAATGATTCTGCATGTGCACTGGCAATCTGCATGTGGTCAGAGGAGCCACAACCTTCTCCAAAGCAGCGCGGAACATAATCCTTCCCATTCTGCCTTAATGCCTGCAGTAAATGAAGTCAAATTAACCCAGCTAGAAAGGCAGGCTTTGGGGCGAGTTTGAGTAAGCGGCAGGAGGAAAGTACAGACGTAATTATGCAAGCAAGGCAGGCAATTAAAGGTGGAGCATAACGAGTCAGCAGCCCCGAGGCATTTACCAAGTCATTTGAGTGCTGTCACCTCAACTGCAGTGCAAAAACCAAGGGCACGTTCAGAAGAAAGAGTCTTGGCCAGGGAGCCTGTCCCCTAGAGCTGTTGGTTTCCTGATGCTCTTCTGTTGGCATCGGCTGTATCTATGCTTATTTCTGTTAATGTTGAATACTATTTCCACACCTTACTGGGCTTGACTGTCTACCTGCTTATGTCCAGATCAACTCTGAAACCAGATAATCCAGTGTAAAGCCAGTTTTACCTTAGCAGGGACTCCAGTTCCTATACATTTACTAGTAGGGTATTTTTTTTAATTTGTTGGTAACCCCAAATAATCGACTGCTATTATGTAAAGGGGACGGCCTGGCAATTATTCAAACTCAAGCATTAATTTCTGTGAGTAAAGGAGCCAAAGTACTGGCTGCCAATGTAGTGACCGTAAGTTTTAGTTTTGCCTGCGCTTGTTATCATTAATGCAGATGTTAAAAGAGAAACTGCTGACTGCAAAGGGTAATGATTTCCCGTCCTGCAGCCTCAGCCCTACATATTTTTGAATGGTCTGTCTTCCCCTCTCTGCAACTCCAACAAATGAGGTGAAAACGAACCGGGCAGTACTCACTCTAGGGTCACCTGAGCCACAGCGTCCATCGAACTGTATCCATTCTCCATGAAGATCTCCGTGTATCGGCCCATTTTGATGGCTTCCAGCCACTCACCCACTGACCTGTAGGCACTGCTCCCAACTGGACTGTGCTCTACCAACAGATTTGATACTCTGAAGACAAGCAAAAACAGAGAAGCAAACAGAATCAGTATCGAGATGTACCCAACATGACTCGCATTTTTACATGGGCAAGATGATTCTTCCACTGCGTTTTCAGTGATTGCCGCAGCCTAAATCCTCCCAGCAGGCTTGATACGCAATGTATCAAACATACCACTTCACCCGTAACTTCACCCACTTTGGAGTTAGTTCCTGCCTTTTCTGGCCCTCACTGCAAGCAGAAGGAGGAGGGGAGGACTAGCGTCCATCCCTGCTACCTCTCGCCCACAAGCAGGCTCCTCTTCTGTCAAGGCTCCCCTCGTCACTCCTACTTCAAAGTCTTCAGTTTCAGTCCTCCCGCTCTGTTTTCCTCCTCCTCCTCCTCCTTCAAAGCTCATAATTAACTTAAGACAGCCCAGAGCCTGGAAGCCGAAACCCAAATTACATTTCCCAGCAGCAGCCATCAACTGCAGGCTGCTGTTAACACTTCAGGGGCTGCTCCTGCAGAGTCGGGTGGGGATTTCGGATGCGGGCAGCAGCCGGTGAGCCCTGCAGAGAGCAGCAATGCTCCAGCCACACTCCGGCTCTGAAACCAGCGGTCGGCTCCTGCTCCCACACGCTCGCTCAAGACGTCGCCGCAGCAATTGCTACCTGCTCGGTTATGCCACGCACGGAAGAAGCAATTCAGGCAAATAATAATGCTTCACCGCTGCAGAAACACTGATACAGTACCTGGCACAAGCGACCCGTGCCGCGTACAGGTCCACCACCCTACTAGTGACGCGCAGAGAGCAAAGGGGGCTTTTCCAAGGTCAGCCAGGAGAGAAACCAGATTTGTCCCCTGCTTTGTAAACCAGGACATACAGCTAACACAAGACTTGCATAAAGATTATTACCTACAGGTAATAAAACATTTTCTGGGTCAGTCTCTGACAGTAAGAATTACACTTAAAGGACTCAACTGGAAGGAGAGCTGGGATATTATATTATTACAGCACTTCAGGAATCTTCGTATATTTTATGATCACGTTAGTATTATTTGTTTATTTAACAGCAATGCTGAAGGGTCCAATAAAATGTGAATACTTGCAGTACCAAAAGCATAATGGCTTCCCATAACATTTTATACATATGAGGAATTCAAAACTCCTAAGTAATAATAACGAGAAGTGGATTTTCATCACTAATGTCAGGAGGTACCTACTGATATGCACATGCTGTAATGTAGAGAGTGACTTCCTCCCTTATTTGCATTAATGAGAATTTCCATAAAGAATACATTACATATATAAAAAAATCTTTTACAGCTGCTGTAGGTTAAAATTGTGATTCATCTGGAATTACTGTCATCTGGGCACGGCAATCTATGATTATAGAAACACAGTCCCAAAGCCTGGCTGTTCAGGTGCTCCATCCACATCGAGAATACCCACAGCAGCTCTGGAAAGGAGAGGTTTGGAATTGCATGAACCTGTTCATGGAATAAAACATCAGCAAAGTGCTTAGCAGCTCAAGGAAATGGTTTCCTGCCTGTCTTCCCCTTTTCTGGCATAACAGTTTGATATAAAAGAGTGCATGAACCACTGCATAACAGGCCTGGAAAATGACTGTTCTGAACTGAAAATAGAAGAGAAACATCACATATTTTGTGCTGTCACAAACCTTTTCCTGCAGGTTTGCTGGGACTGACATTACATCTAATTGCTAATAAGAGTAATTTCTTCTTCAGATGGCAAATGATGCATGTAAAATAGCCTGAGGAATCAGACCTATTTTGTATTTAAAAATGAACAGGGATTCCATGTTTCTTCTCTTCCAGTGCATGAGATGCCACGCGTGGGGACATGCCAGCATGGGGATGAGAGATCCAGCTGCAAGAGGCGAGATGGGCCACATGCAGCTGTGTAAGACTCACTTGGAAGGTGCGGAGACGGATGGATCTGTGCTCACAACAGTATATCTGCTTTGGTCCACACCACCAGTCGAACCTCATCTTACATCCCCCTTATTCCTGTCCAAGGAAAATGACATGTCTTTTTTTCCCTCCTCTGAGAATAATCTTTTCTGAAGGGCCTTTTCCAGTGTTAATCAGGGGAACTCCACTGCCATCAGCGAAGCAGCGATGATTTATATTCATCACTCCTCCATGACCTTGCAAGGGATCAAGTGATTAGCAACACAGATGGCTCAGAAGTAATATTTGTGTGCTTGTGGCAAAAAAAGAAAAAGCCTCTCCAGGACTCCAGTATGGGAAGACCCCAACACTAAAACTCACTAAAAAATATTAATCTCTTTTTCCCCAAGCACAGCTTTATTTCTTGACCTGACCTTACCTTACCTGTAGCCGTGTAGCTGTTCAGTTTCAGGTTTAATTGCACACCAGCTGCTCTATTCACTTAATGTGGTTTTAGCAAATGGTTTGTGTACAGTTCTTTGGGAACCACAGAGATCCTCTTAACAATCACCAAGACTGTCAGAACTGGCAGTGGCAGCTAGCATGCCTGGGAATACTTGCGGGAGAATGCACTTGGACATCTGTGAGCTTTGCACATGCTAAGAGTTTCCTCAAGAGACCCTCTTCATTTGTATTACCAAGATAAAGTCAACAGGCAGATAATTTGAGCAGCATTTACTATCTACTCGATGTACTCAAGTCTTGCCCTCTCTAACCTTGGGGTAGAGCACAAGTAGCTTTATCAGAGACCTTTAAATACCACTGAAACTCCCATTTCTGAAAGACAGGCCACAGTGTTTTTCTTCATGGCAGCAGCACTGCATTTATAGAGTATGTGAATTGCCCACCTGCCTGCCAATTTCAACAGAAAAAGCTGATTTGGGAAAACTCCCCTGGACATAATGAAGCTGGAGGAGCATCCACCTGCAGATGTGGGTAGGCTAAATAACAAGCAGTAATTCAACCCCAGGGGCGGGTATTCAGACAAGGATCCCGTTCTGAGAAATGGCTCTGGCCCGAGTTTCTACCTGCTTGATGCATTAACCAACGTCTTCAAGCTGCTTGGGTTACGGATGAGCTTGTCCAACATGCTGACAATTTCGTCAAACTTGGGCCTGCTGTTGCGGTCTTTCTGCCAGCAGTCAAGCATTAGCTGGTAGAGAGCAGCAGGGCAGTCCATGGGACTTGGCAGGCGATAGCCTTCCTCCACGGCTTTAATCACCTACGGGAGACAAAACACAAGGCTGATCGGTTGCTTTTCTTTCTCTTGCCTTTTTCCCAAAGGCAATTTGACTTAAACAGATAACTTTAGGACCAGCCATATGCTCATGTAAAATCCCACTGCCCCCCAACTCTGCACACAAGAGGCAAGCCCAATAAACCCCACTATATTTTCTACAGGATGGGCTGAATAACTTCATTTTTGGTCACGCAAAATGAATCTAGAAAGCCAAGGCAATGCTGCAACCAGGGAGCCAGATCTCAGATTGCACTTGCTCAAAGCTCAACTGAGGTGTGTAGGTTATGTATCAGGGAACTCCTGGAGCCTACCCTAAGCCCATGAACAGCAGCCTACAGGGCTTTCTGGCATCTTCTTGGAGTACAGTGATTTTGTTTATACAGATGTTGGTTTCTTTTTAAATGAAAAGGCATGTGCTAGACCACAAATTTGTATTACAGTAATAAAAGTCTGACTGTATTTCAAAAGAGACTTTGAATGCTAATTGATGGATGGATTCAAGGCAGAGGCAGAACAACGATCTCATATATCATTCAGTACTGTCTGGGTCTAGTCGTTTCTTAGTGTGGCCACATTTCTGCCAGGAATTTAAAATGTCAGCCCAAGAGTATGTAAATTAAAACCAGGGGAAGGTTGTTGCACTGATTTCAAATACAAACCGTCTATGATTCCATATCCAAACCAAGTGGTATGCACATGTGCTGCCTGCCCTTTTGAAAGGCAGAAATTAATAAATGAGGGCAGAATTAAAGAAAGCAACTTGTTTTCCCCAGTTTGGGGCAGATTTACAACAGGGCTCCAAGCCTAGCAGTTCCCATGTTGAACCATTAAAATTTTCAGGAGAATGTAGCTCGTGTTTCAAACCACAAGGGTCTGTGACTGCACCAAAAGAGTCCCGGCGGGCCATCTTCACACCCTCTACTCCCAAGACTCCTTGACCAAAAGGAGCTGGAAGCAGCTATTTGCTATGTGGAAAACCACATTGCTTCACTGTTGGACTCCAAGGACTGTCTCAGATGCCATTCATTCTAGGCACTGTTTCATGATTTGAAAACATCGTGTGTTTAAAAAGAAGGATTTGTGGTTAGCATGGAAGTTGTTTTCTTGATCTTTAGTCCCTATACGAGCAGTACAGGAAGAGCCACGTCAAGCCGGCATTGCATTTCAGAAGGCTCCAAAATTCAGGACCACATGGATCACCTTCAAATCATCCTCCACCACAGGGCTTTTTGCCAAGTGGAAGAGTCCCACAAATGAGCTGGGCTGGCTGAGCAGCAGTAGCGGGAACCTCAAACTCCCTAAGGACGCACATAGTAGAGAAGAAGTTAGGCGAGGCTTTGTAACCTTCTCCAAGGGTAGTGAGCGTGCCTGAAGATCTGGCCCACAAGACCTGCAGTTCTTTTGCACCCATCTAAGATTTCATCTGTTGGTGGAGCAGTTGCAGTGGTCTCCCCCCACCCTGCACCTGCAAAGCAATCTCTTCTACGGCCCGGCTTTTGCTTGCAGCATCAAAAACCAGACCCACCACACTATGCTGTCTGCACTGTCTGTTTTTCACATGGTGCTCTTCAGCTGGTCCCTGATATCAAATTTGCAGCTGCCCTATAAAAAAAGCCTCTGTGTGGCTGTATTTGCTGTGTCCACGCCTGTATTTATAACAATAATGACCATCCGCCAGCTGTAGCAGAAAGAAAATAGTAGCAAGGCAGGGAGCAGACCATCTGGCACCAGCTCAGAATATCTGAACTACATCTGCAATGGGGTTACGCATGTTTGATATTCCTGGCAGTAACATCACAATCAATAGCGTTAACTCAATTTACAGGATGTTGCTCATTCTGGCAATACAATGTAAATGGTATCAAAATACTGTGAGGAGCTAGGACGCTGAAATACATTCTTGCATCTGAAGGTGCCTCGGAGGTCTGGCAATAAAAGGAGCAAAAGAATGAAACAACTAAGTCTGAGTCACCTGTAGCCACCACAATACATAGAAAACAAGAAAACTGCACATCCGCTGTTCCATTCATTGGTGCCTACTGCTTTGTAAGACTTGAAGAGCTAAAACGTGCATCTATAAGGAGGCATTTTTGTCCCTGTTCCTCTTCTGGACAAGCACTACTCACTTACGGATTGGGGTGACTGAACTGGATGTTTGGGAGAGGACGATCTGGGATAGTCTATTCCAGCAAACCAAAGCAACACTTTTAGCTCTGTTTTCCTAAAACCATCAGCCTGAACACTAAAAAGCAACCACTGTGATCGTTTAGCTTAGCAACCTGTGTAACACAGGCCACAAAATTCCCCTCAACAACTCCCGCATCAAAGCCTTATCTTGTGGTCGAGTCAAAGCATATTTTTAGAAGGGCATCCAGAAACCAGCATGACTTTAAAACATGGTTTGTAGCCTTCGACATTACAATGCTGCCTGCCCTACGGCACTACACCTCTTTTAAAGCAATCCGGCTGTAACGTGGTGAGAACCGCTTTGCTCATCAGCAACTGTGCTTGCAAATGATGTCCTTTAATTACAAGCCATGCAACGAGAAACTCTTGTGCAACAGAGTTGGAAATTCATGTGAACAGAGCCCCTGGTCCTCTGCATGGAAGTCAATTCTGTATCTAACACCGCTGATTCTTCTGCCAACACAAGGAGAGGAGGAACGAAAGAAGAGGAGGCCCTCAGAAGATGAAGGAGGAAGGCATAAATCGCACAAGAAACATTTCTCTGCCACAACACTGAATTAAGTTTCCTGGCTACCACTATCCAGGCACTCGCCACCTGCACACAGGCAGAGAGGTAACCCAAGCAAAGCTTGAGCGGGAACTGATGCTCATAAACATCTCACCAGTCTTCTGCCTTCTGCTAAACCAGTCCCCCATCCCCTTCTTCCCAGGTAAGTGTGAAATTCACCCTGTGCCCCACAGTCCAGGGAGGCATTTGGATTTTTTTGGAACAGTTCTGCATAGTGTGGATGTTTATAGCATTACGATCCAGACAAGGGACTCCCCTGGCCACGGAGCATTATTTCACTGACACCAGTCTGAATCTTACCCTGGCATTTATTGAACAACATCTGTGCTCTGCCAGTGCATCAGCATTAAAGATAGTTACAGTGCTCAGTGTGACCGAAAAACCTTGGCTCAGTTGCTGCATTCTCTGCACAGGCTACGGAAGAAAGTCTCTGTATTTGATTGAGATAAATCCCTGTGTAGACACATGCCGCTTTACCAAACTCCCTGCAAACGCGTCAGCCTCAGCAATGCAGAAGCGGTGGGGCATTCATGCCAAACAACGCGCTCGTCTCCCTGGCAAGAAGCACGGTGTGACCATCTCAAAGGTACTGCTTGCTTCCGCGCCTGGACTTGAAGCGAGATGAGGCAGCAGATCGGCGTGACAGGCAGTAACATCCACTGATGGCAAAGGCCCGCAGACAAAACGCAGGAGAAACAGAAGGCTCAGCCGGAGCCTTTGCTGCCAGCGAAACGGCAGAAAGTTGTGGGGACAGCGATGCTGCTCAAAAAAGAGAAAAGGATGAAACATCAGGTGCTGTGACCAGAGGAAACCCGTGGCAGAGCAAGGACCTGCCTGCTTTGCCCAGCCAGCAGCAGCATCTCCGCAGGCGCAGGGTTGCAGAGATGAAGCGGGAGGGGTGCGGAACGACTCCGTTTGCCATATGCGGAGCGGTGCGTTTCCCCCCCATAGAGAGCTGCTTTGGGGGCCCTGAGTGCCTCACGGTGACCCCGACCTTACGTGCTAGCTGGCATCCTCAGAGATCTCCACACATCATGGTTCTCAGAGATGTGAAGAGGAAGGAGGGGCCCCAGAAACTCTGGCAACCCCAGGCTTAAGTTTTTTTAGCCTTAGACAAGGACAGAGGTTTATGGTCAGCTCAGGATAGGAGGTAGCCCTGCAGTAGGATCAGGAGATCCTTACATAGAGCTGCAGTCAGGAGGGGTAGAGGCTCCCCAGGCATCTCCCTGTTTGGAGATGCTTCAGAGGGTGGCCTTAAGGTCAGAAGCTCGAGGGGGCACTGGGGCCCAGGAGCAAGGGGACACAACTCAAAGGGTGCTGTACAAACAAACCATGAGAGCTTGCATTAGCACAGACTTAAAAGATGTTCACAACAGGAGCAAAACTATGCTCTTGAGATCAGCAACGCAAGGGCAAGCGAGACGCGGTTCTCTGGACCGCTGTCACTAGATCAAATCACCCAGCTTTTGTGCAGGGAGACAAAGCCCTTACCATGACTCTCCTGAGTTTCTGCTTTACGTGGCAGCAGGGGTTTGAACACACAATTGAAATGCTGCCAGTTATCAGCATCTATCCCTGGGCAGACCTTTGTCATTAAGTGGCGGAGGGACGGGCTCCAGCTCTAACAGCATTAGCGAAGCTCCAGCAGTCTGCCGGGGGAGCAGGCTTGCCTCTGTGCAGACACATTTCCCTCTGCACACAGCCTGTTCTGGGCTGCTGCTGCAAGAAAAGAGCATCAAACGGGAGGATCATTTTTGTCTGGCATGGGGGAGCAAAGCCATTTTTACAGTGGCTCTCCTCCTCTTGTCCCCCTCCTGCCTCTCTGATTGCAGAATGAACAAGCCCTCAAAGTCTCGTCACACGGCAGCTCTCCCACGTGCTTACATCTTGGTTTGTCATTTCCCAGTAAGGCCTCTCGCCGTAGGACATCACTTCCCACATTACGATGCCGTAGCTCCAGACGTCGCTTGCTGACGTGAACTTGCGGAAGGCGATCGCTTCGGGTGCTGTCCATCGGATGGGGATCTTCCCTCCCTAGAAAGAGAAGGAAAACAAAAACAAAAACCAGATTGCAGAGGAGGGCAGAGAGCATGCCAAAGAGGACAAAACAGCACTTCTTAGAGCACCAAGGGATGTTATTTTCTCTCTGGAAAGAGACATCGAATTTTAAACTAAATCTGTTTGACAGCATGGGGCCCCTTTCCACATTATCTCAGCCCATAAGCATTTGTAGGCTGCCTACTAATTGGCTGTCCTGAAGGTTTGTTGTCTGAATAGTGTTTGAATGCTGGGACATGTATAGGATCAACATCTCAATTATGTTGCACGGGTTGGTAGGGGAATACAGTTCCTCCGTTCCTGGGAATGAGCGGGGGAGGAACAGGCAGCTCTGAAGCCGAGCACGACTTTGATCTAACGAGGGCTTCATGCAAATTGCTGCAGAAGTAATGCCCTTCTTTCCTTTCTTTTTTTTTTTTTTTTTTTTTTCCCCAATGCGGTCCCAATCCTGCAGAGGGATCTGCGTAGTGGGCACAGAAATCTGAGCGTGCAAAGACCAGCCTGCTTGGCCTCTGCTGCGGGACTGAAAATGATGCCACAGCTGCCAAATGTGCTGTTTCCTTCTCCCCTTTCTACCATTTTAGAAACCAAACTTCAGACCAGCTCTGGGAAGGAGGGAGGGAGGGAAAGGGGAGTTTGGATTAAGAAATAGTTTTCTCATTGGGTTTAAAGAGTTGTCTCCCTTGATTTATATCAAAATATATTTTACTGTGAAGTCCCTTCCTCTCAGTGTTGAGCTAAATATTGGAAGGTCTCCCTGAATGCCCCCTAACAGTTTGTTACTGGAAAAAGGTAGAATTTGGCACACATTTTCAAAGCAAATTTTAAAAAGTCCCTTCTTCCAGCTAATTACGTACTCGCAGGCTGATCAGCACACGCCTTAGGTGAGGGGCCAGGTTCTCAGCAGCGCCAATTAGCACACGGCAGCGC